CAATAATTTGATAATGTGACCTAAGTTCACATTAATAATATTTGCTCTATATCCTATTGAGGTTCTAAGTCGTATGCTAAGAAATTTTCTTTCGGACTTGGAGTTATTTTCGACGATTATAAATCAAAAATTTCAAAATGACTTAAGTATGATTGTTGACGAACTTTGACTTCATACCCTAGGATGAGACACGAAATTCCTTGAAAAATAATAGATGTGAAGGTTAGAAAAATCTTTGTTCAGAATCTACGATAAACATCACGTTTCATCAACTACTAACCTAGGCATTTACCAAATAAAGGTTGGCAATTTTTAGTAAGATCGGCAATTGGGATAAACATATTTATCCAGCAATCAAGTATCTTTATCCAATAATCTCAACTCTCAAAATTGGTTGTCAGTTCGTCTAGACTCGAGAAACATGAATTAATATATGTTGTATAAGATAATAAGTTAATGCAAATAATCAAATGAAATACACTGATATTGTTCAAATGATAGGACATTTTAAATGCACTTAAAATATGTGTATTGGAGACACTCTTTATCAATTATTAATATATAAGTGATAAAATCTTTGAAAATTACACATTCAACAATCATGTTAAGACCAAAATCCTCGATAGTGTGTGTGAGTGCCTTAGATTGAGATTCTAAGCCAACATATAATCAATGACCACCGGTTGAGGTTTAGTATAAACTTCAAGAATTAACAATTGATACATATTGTATAATATACTGAATTTAAGTGTCTGGATAAAAAAACAAACATCCAAAATGAAAATGAGTCGATATTAGAGAATTTAGTCATCATGAGGGCTACGGTGTGAGTCAAGTTTCAATATGGATTAATAAATCCAATAATGAAGTATCTTTACTAAGAATTTCTCACTAAAAAGTCATATTTTTTACAACATTGGTCGAGAGTTCGTCCAAACTCGAGGATCATGAATGTGTATTGGATTTCCAAAGGACCTAAAGTCCCAACCCCTTTTGAGGGCTAAATAGTAAATACCTCTGATCACAACCATAGGTGATAAAGTAGAATGAAAAAGAAGCAAAAAAAAAAAAAAAACATAACCTCCGATACGATTAACATAATAAAACCATATTGAGCTATGATCCTGTCATCCCTACCTTTTTATTCTCCATAAAGGGGACGGCGGGAGAGGATAAGAAATCAATAGTAGAATCTTAGTATTTGCCTCTTTATATATTACATATCGAACGATAGACAACCCCAATGGTTGTCTGGCGTTATGGGGGTAAAAGCGAGATCTCTAGATAATTTTGAGTCTAATATACATATACACACACATATATACATGTATATGTAATATCAATGTATACTATACTTTATTTAACTCAAGATACGATAGAAGATAGGTATTACGAAGTATGTGCATAAATTAGAGGTTACATAATTAGGGACTAGAGTTCACCTATTAGAGGATAGGGTATAGTATCATGCCCCAAAAAACTCCGGTTAATTCGGGTCTAAATAGTAAAACTCAATGGTCGTATGGTAGTATGAACACAAGAGTATAGTGTACTCCTGGCGCACGCTAGCTTGAACTATATATATGTGTGTGTGGTTCAGGTTGGCGTACGCTAAATATTAGTGTTTTGGTTGACAAATTTTGACATAAGTTCTAAATGGGACGTGACAGCGGCATAATTTATGATTCAAAAACCGAAGCATCACAAGTGAGTGTGCTAAATATTGTAAATTTCAACATAGACATACTACAAACTCTGTTATAAAATATTTAAAAGATTCAAAAAGATTTAAACATATAAATTATAAAATAAATCTCTCCGGCCAACGGGCCGGGTAAAAAGCTAGTAGCTATAAGGATTATATGTTGGTTGTGTTGGCTACAATCAGTGGCTGACCCAAGAATTTTACATAGGGGTGTCCTCTTTTTAAAAATAAAGTAAAATAATTATTAAATAAGACAATACCCTACTCGTACAAGTTAAAAAAAATTCAATGATGCATTTTCATATTCTAGAAAAATAATATAAAATACACTTGGTGTCTACACTGCTCAACAAATTTGTCTCGGTATATCCTACTAGACAATCATTCACGAACTAACGCATATTTGACTTCTAAATTTGTTCTTGATGTAACTCAAAACTGAAAAGACACTTTCAACACATGTCGTACAATCATAAAATCAATACAAATTAAGGGTAGCTTGTAATTAGATTAATTGTTAGGTTTTGAAAATAATTAAGATAGAGAATAGGGTTTGCTATTACACAGTGTTTAGAATAGAACAACAAAAAAGTTGTAGCCAATGGAAATTATATTTATTAATAATAGTAGTGTCCCGGGTTTGAATTACACAAAATACCACTTATATTCTCATACGCTACAAACGAGAGTAGGATAATCGTTCTTTCAAATTTCAGGGTGTCTATTAATTATAATTTTTTTGTCCATACGTAAATTACCATCGGGGGTTGGATTATCGATTTTTCCAAAATTTAGGGGTGTCCTGGGACACCCCTAAATACCCATGGGTCCGCCCCTGGCTACAATACTATGACAACTTGACCTATAAATCGAGTCAAACTAATGCCTACTTTACAATGGTGGTTATATATTGTAGTGAAATTACTCACTAAGTTAGGTTTGGTTAGTGGTAATTAGTGAATGAAATTTTATACATTTGATTGAGTATTATGAGACATCATTCCAATACTTAAGTTTCCTTATTACAATTCCTTTCATTTTATGATACAATAGTGTCTACTCTGTAATTCCGAAGCTTTTAGGTGAAGCCACGAGCTAGCTATTGTACTACTCATATCACACATATCTTTATCGTTAGTGTTTACTGTAATCTCAAGTATATTTTGATATTTGTATGGAGAACTATCTTCTCAGAAATGTATTATTCTTATTTCAATGTTGTTCTCCCATAGAAATGAGCAAGTGAAAAGTGATCTAGAATATGTCGTTTCCTGCACTTCCAAAATTGTCAGAACAATTGATACATTGCACAATATTTGTGAGATCTAGGTAACACCATCTATATTTTTGTAAGTTTACATACTTTTTCCATACCATATATAAATTTTCTTTTATTGTTTGTGTCTGAGTGATTGGTGCATGCGCTTTGTAGTGAAAACTTAATTTTGGAGAGGATTATGAAGAAGGCAACCATCGACAAAAGAAGGGAAGAACACTTTATCATTTGTAATCCATTCAACGCATGCAATCTCTTTTCTGTCAAGACGCCTCCCAATTTGTATTCGAATTCCTTTTGTATTCTTTGGACAGTGGTTCTGAGTACATTTGGAAGGAAAGATGTAGGAGGTGTTATGGTGTTGACAGAGTAAGAATGCCAGCTCAGTTAATAGCCCAAATACGTTCAGAAGTTAGATGGTATACGGATAGTAAAGTACAGTTACAAAGCGTGCTTAGTTGATAGTTCTATTTTTCATTTCATATTGTTAAACAGTCTATGTAAGTACTTTCCGAGAGGACCCTTAGTTTAAAAGGGAGCCTGGAGCTTAATGATACTTTTGATTAACCATAAAAAAATTCCAATTGTATTTGTATGTTCAGTTAATTCAATAACTTTTTTCATTGCTTTGCAAAATGAAACTTTATTTGCTAATTGTTCCGCTATAAATTCTGCAAGAATATTAGGGTTCCTTTAAGGATTTCCGGTTCTTGTAATAGTAATGTTGATCTTTTGGTCTCACAATTCAGTTTTTTTTTAAATATTTCTTTGTAATTCTTCGAGTTTTTTTAGATTTACCCTATATTAATATTTTTGGAAATGTTATATATATATATATAGTTCAAGCGTACGCCCCATTAAGTTTTGCTATATAGATCATGAATTAATCGAAGTTTGGGACATGATAATATACCCTAACCTCTAATGCCAGTCCCTAATTTTCTAACCCAAACCATGAGATTCGTTGAATCTTAAAATGAAAATCAATGGAAATTTCGCATATCTTGAGTATGAAAACGCTATCTACACCTCGAATTAGCAGAATTTTTAGGCATGATACTATACACTAACCCTTAATTAGTGAATTCTAGGTCCAAATTATCTAAATCATAAACTATAAATCTTAAGATGGTGCATTAATTTTTTTGCTTATATTTGGACGAATCATAACAGTCGATTATTATTTCTAATTAAATTGATCTTGGGGTATAAGATTTATAGAATTAAGACCTAGATTTTGATCTTTAGGGGTTAGAGTATAGTAACATGTCCGAAAGATCAGTCAATTCAAGTTCTGGATATCGTTTTCTTACTCAAAGTATACGGTACCCCGATTTTTCTCCTGGGTATCGTAGAACTCGCCATATATATATATATATATATATATATATATATATATATATATGGCGAGTTCTATATATATATATATATATAGTGCCTTCTATGGTACCCCAGGTGAAATCCGGGGTACCGCATACCTTAAGTACGAAAACGCTATCTAGACCTCGAATTAACAGGATTTTTGGGCATGATACTATACCGTAACCCTATATATATATATGGCAAAGGCTAGCGTACACCCGGACGTACCCTAGCCTACCGTACGCCCGTTGAGTTTTGCTATTTAGACAATGAATTAACCGGAGTTTGGGCCATGATATTATACCCTAACCCCTAATGGGTGAACTCCACTCCGCAATTCACTAACCCAAAGCATAATATTTATTTAATCTTGAAATGAAAATCAACGGTTTTGATTCGTCGAAACTATTGTTGATTTTCATTTCAAGATTAAACGAATCTCATGATTTGGGTTAGAAAACTAGGGACTGGGGTTTATCCATTAGTGGTTATATATATATATAAATGGATCTTGTCGATTCGTTTTGAATCTCTATGCATGAAATTTCCTCAAAACTATAAAAAAATTTCATATATTTTGTACATAATTCTTGATACAGTTTCTTATTTTTTTTTATCTTCCTGTAGACCTCCAGAATAATTTTTTGGTTGTGCAAACTAAAGAGAATGATGACCTTGAGTTGTACCAAGTCTAAATCCCAGTGGATTTATTTTTTGTCCCATAACCCTCACTATATATAAAAATCATGAAATTATTTTTTTACATACCTGCTTTATTAAGCATAAATTTTTATGTTGTTTTTTCATTGTGGTAAGATTATAATAAATTTCTAACTCTCCCCTTTTATATTTTTCATAGAAAAATTTGTCTATCAGTCCAATACGTATATGAAAACTTGGCCTTTTATAGAAAAACTCCATCCTCGATCTCGAGCTTTTAATTTTTTTTACCGTACTACCCTCATTAACTTTGGCTTTGATAATAACTAAATCGTCTTCCTTGAAATCCTTAATGTGATTACCATTGGGTGCGACAGTTTTTTTGGGAAGATGTTCAACAATTGTTATGGGGAAGCTCGCGTACGTGCGACGTTCCAGACTGGTGGTTGTCCCGCCCAACAGCACGCCCAATCCCTTTTTTTTCAGGAATCGCCAAAAGCGTTCCCAAATATGCCAATGCTTCCCCAAAATTAGAGCTGGTCAACGGTCTCCATTTAATCCACCCCGCTGGTAGTGATGGCAATTTGAATCCGCCCCGCGGGTATTACCCGACCTGATCCGCGACGGGACGGGTATTACCCGACACGCACTAGCGTGGTGCGGAGCATGGTTATCAACTTCCGACCCATCCTGCCCCTCCTTGTCCAATTCTTGACCCATTCTGTCTCAATTGCTTATAGTATCTATTCATATTTCTCCTATTTTGACTATTCTTCAACTAGTTAGACTCGGTTTTTCAACTAGTTAGACTCAATTACTCATTATATTATCATTATTTTTCATTCATTAGTGTTTTTCACTTCGTTTTATTATAAAAAGTAACAATTTACGTGTATTTTTTTCAAATAACATATAAGAATGGATCGACCCGCTTGCCCGTACCTGCACGGGTATTACCCCCTCTGACCCACAATTAGGGATGGCAACAAAACCCGAACTCACGGGTACCCATCCGACCCAACCTGGTCAACGCGGTAAAATCCGTGTTGACGGGTTTTGAGCCGGGTTTTGGTTTAAACTCATTCACTATTCACCGGATTGGTTTGGGTTTAGGTAAACCCAGCCCATGGGTACCCGTCCACACCCATATAATTAATTTTCTCAATATATTTAATATTCTAAACAACTAATCTTATTTATGTTTGTGGAGACATGTCTAATTTTTTCTTTCTAATTGTGTAAAATGAAGTTGATGTTATCAAGTGGAGAGTGACGAAACTTAATTGAAAGGAAGAAGCTTTCAATTAATCATGTTATTTATGGATAATTTGTGATTTGCTTCAATTTTCTTGAGTTTTCTAGATTGGTGTTGAACAATTTATATAGTTAATTTGTGATTTGCTTTGAATTTTCTAGAATGGTGTTTTATATATGGATAATTTGTATTAAAAGATTGATATTTGACTTTAATTTTGATAGAAACTTGTTATTGTAAATTTTTCACTACAAAAACCCGTGGGTACCCATAAACCTGCGGATACCCAACGGGTTGGGTTGGGTTTGAAAAGCTCAAACCCTATGGATTTTACCCCGTGGTTTTTTACGAATAAACCCATGAATTTGAATTTGAGTTTGAAAAAACCCGACCGAACCCGACCAATTGCCATCCCTACCCGCAATAATACGGGACGGGACGAGGTAACTAGGGCTGGGAAATGGTGCGGTCTGGTTAGACCAGACCATATATACGGTCTATGGTCCAGACCGAGAGGCTGAAGTATAGACCACAGACCAGACCACAAACTATACGGTCCGGTCCAGACCACGCCTGTGCGGTTTGGTTTGGTTTGGTTTGGTCCAGATAGACCACACTCAACGAAAAATGAATAATTTGTTTAGTAAACCACACGAAAAATTGAACCAATAACCAATAAAAATAATTGTTATTTTCCTTAACACATTAATCCTTACATGCATGAATAATTTTGATACCCTAAATCTTAGTACATATAAAAGATACAAAGTAAAAGCATCCCAACTTGGACCATAACGTCATAAACATTAACATAATGTCGTATGGAGACACAATTATTTCTACTCTCTAGTTAAATGTGGTTGTGAATGAAGGAGGGACGAGATTCCCAAAACTAAGGTTGAGACTTGGGTGTCGTTGTGAGAGTTGGGAGAGTGGTTGAATGAGCTGTTAACACGTATTGACAAGTCGGTTGGGTCCACGGTTTGGTCCGGTAAACCGCGGTCTAGACCAGACCAGACCAAGATATCAAAACATAAAATAATATAAACCATGAACCAGACCAGACCATACTTAACGGTCTATGGTCCAGACCAAATTGTGCGATACGGTTTGAATCACGGTTTTTCTAACGGTCTGGTCTATTTTCCCATCCCTAGAGGTAACCGCCCCATTTACCATCACTACCCGGTGGAGATGGCAAATTGGCAATTCACCAATTTTACCCAGCCCATTGGAGTCAGCCTAACAGAGAACAAGGCCCAATTCAGAAAAGCTCTCTCCCGTGTAGCCGTAGCCCGTAGGGTTTATGTCATGGCTTCTTCATTCGTCACTCCACCATGAATACGAGGGCTTAGTTCTCTCTACCATCTGCGCTTTTCCATTGACATCTCATCTCAAATCTTCCAACTTTCCGACTGCAAGTGTAAGTGTTCCTACGGAAAACCCATCAGTTAAATAATGGGCAATATGCGATTAATTTCGCGGCATTTATGGCGGATCCGGAGAACCCTGGATCAAAGCCCTGCTTCCCCTCTGCAATCAAATCTCCGCTGTCCTACTCGCCAATTCGGGTCGGCAGCAGAGCAATCAGTCCCGACGGCGCCGTCGGAAAGGGTATCAGGCATCGTGAACGAACTCTCGGGTTTAACTCTTCTGGAAATTTCGGACCTAACCGAGGTTTTGAGGAATAAATTGGATATGAAAGAGATGCCGGTGATGGCCATGATGATGCCAGGGATGGGGTTCAGTGGCATGCCGGGAGCTGGAAGGGCAGCCGGTGTTGGTGCGGCTGCAGGAAAAGGTGAGGAGAAAGCGGAGAAGACGGTGTTTGATGTGAAGTTGGATGGGTACGAGGCGGCAGCCAAGATCAAGGTGATTAAGGAAGTGAGAGGGTTTACTGATCTGGGGCTGAAGGAAGCCAAAGAATTGGTGGAGAAATCTCCTACGCTGTTGAAGAAAGGAGTAACGAAAGAGGAAGCTGAGAAGATCATTGCCAAAATGAAGGAAGTTGGGGCTAAAGTTAGCATGGAGTAACCAATGTGAGTTCCCTTCTTTCTAGAATTTAATTACTTTGAGCTTCTACTTCAACACTGGTATCCATTTCCATAGTTAGTTACTTAGTCCTTCTGACCTGTTATGCGTAGTTAGTGCTGTCAGGCAACTATCTCCAAGATATGAGAAACCCTTGTCCAAGTTTAGGGGCAATGTTATCTAATCCATAGATGAATGCCTTGTTGCAGAATGAAAAGAATTAACCTGGTCCTGGGCGAATGTGGTTGATCCCTGATCTTCTGTGTTTCTGATTTTGAAGCCTATGTTGCTCAATCCTTTAGAAGTTGCTTGCCCTAGAATTGCAAGCATTTGTTCAAGCAAACCTGCGATGTAATGATAAAAGATGAATGGGAGCACAAGAGAATAAGACTAGATATTAGAAAATGGAAGGACTGCCTGATACTGGATGGTAGCGGATCTTGCAACTGATGCTAGATTCTGGCTTGGTTTCGACATGTTTGTGTTGTCCCTTTTCCCTTGTTTTAAATTACTTGTGCATTAATCTCTGGATTATCTAGTTATTTGCTGACTTAAGAAGAAGAGAGGAGGGGAACAGTGAGTTTTTGTTATGGTGAGTTGTGATGGAGATTAGATTGTTAGGTTATGGTGCGTGTGGTGAGCTAGTTTCGCCGAGAAAGATGACTGTTTGTATTGTATTATTGTGCTGGGGAGAAATGAAAACCTACTTTGAATTTGTTTAGGCTTCTGATTTCTCAATGATGTGGTAAGAACAACTCACTAATTCATTTTTCATGATCAGACTTAAATTGATGCCACGAGTTCGACGAAAGAAACTTGGTGCAACAGTTGAATTGCAGGTCATGCGGTGGGATGTGAGAAAAGGGAAGAGACCGGTGCAATGAGCTGTCGTTGCTGGGTGGCACAATACCAGAAGTTCAGATTTTTCTTGATAATACCAGAAGAAGAACCATCTTCTGTGACAAGGAAATTGCTCATATGCTCTTTTAGTTGGAAGAAGCAAGTCTTAGAGAAACTACCAGTTTTCTGTTACCATTTTTTGGAAACTCCGGGCAAGGGATAGTGAGCGACGCCCCCCCTGTTGTAGAATTGAGTCGAGCGTAGCAATTCGATTGTATCCATCCATCTATCTAGCTCTGCAGTTTTGCAGTCTTGCATAGTACAATCATTCCCTTTTGGTTTGCTCTCTCTCATGTGTACATGATTTTGCTTCTCCATCTAACAGAATGCTTTATTCAAATAAACCCACCGTGATTCTTCTGTTCCAAAATTTCTTATCAGTTCTTGCCTAAAATGCTTGAAACAGTGTTGCAACTGTACGTGGGCACCGGGCCGTGCCGCCCATGAACTAGCACGGCACGACACGGTTAGAGCACGGCACGAGCATGAAATAAATGGGTCAGCCCGGCACGAGCACAAATAATTTATGCCTCGTGCCAGACCTAAACTTTGTAGGCACGAGCACGGGCACGGCACGGTATATAAGTGGGTCGTGTCAGGCCTAATATTTTTTAAGCTTTATTGAGTATAAGAACGAACATGGCACGAAAAAAATATTTATTTGATAGAAAATAAATATAAAAAGAATTATAGGTTCAAATATTACAACACACAAGTAGAAAAATAATTATTTGTTGTTGTTAGAAGTGTCATAAAGATATATACGTAATTACTAACATAAGTAAAAATGAATAAAGAATTAAACAAAGCCAAATCACTCGCTATACTTCCAATTTTCTTTTCCCCCTGATTTGTTACTTCTCTCAAACATTATCGATTAATACTATCTTCCTCCGTCCAATTTTCACCTTATTTTTCTCTCTTTTGTTTTCGTCCTTTTCATTAAACACGAATACGAGCATGACACGAGCACGAATAGGCACGACACGATTCGAACAGTGCTCGAGCCTGGCCCGGGCCTAGCAAAGTTAACAAATGGACATGGCACGGCACGACACGAAAACTGATGGGCCGTGCCAAGCACGACACGAAATAAATGGACCCGAAGCGTGCCCGTGCCGTGCCGGCCCAAGCACGGCTCATCGCCCATGTACAGTTGCAACTAAGTCTTTCGGCTTTATCATTTTAATTATTTAGTCAAGTCGAACTCATTTCGACATATGTATGAGTGATTGGAGAACATGCATCAGAAAGTGATCAATCTTAAGATTGCCACAAATAATCAACCACATAATCTGTGTACCTGAATCAATGTCATCGCTATAGCGTAATTTCGAAGGAGAAACTTTGTTCATAACAATGCGTTGTGGCGTTCCTACCAAAAACAGAACAATGCGTTGTGGCAATAGGAAACCTTTGGATCGGGCCGCAACGCGCAAGTGGCGGAATCAACCTGACGATACAGACGACACCGTTTTAGGCTAACTTCAATGGAGTCTCTATAAATGAGGGAGTCTCTATATTTGGGGGAAAGTTGGCTCCAATGGAATCTCTATAAATAGATGAGTCTCTATATTTGGGGGAGATCTGCAAAAGGATCCCCAAAGTCCGCCACGTGGCGTTTTTTTTTCTTTTTAAGATTTTAGGGGTTAATTGGAGTTTAATTAGAGAATTAGTTAGGAGTTTAATTAGATCAATAATTTTCAAGTGTTGTGTGTAAACTCAAATTAGGTCAATCATTTTTTGTCTAAAAAAATTTGGTCTCAAAATTAAAAAAATTTCTACCGGAAAATTTGTATTTAAAAATGATGACGAACTATACAAAAATTAACATGAACAAATTATATTAAGATTTTGATAAGTATATTTTTAAGTAAATGGAAAAACTGAAAAAATTAAGATCTCCAAATATGGAGATTGAAGCAATGATGACGAACTATACAAAAATTAACATGAACAAATTATATTAAGATTTTGATAAGTATATTTTTAAGCAAATGGAAAAACTGAAAAAATTAAAATCTCCAAATATGGAGATTGAAGCAATGGAGCAAAATAAGGGAAAATGGAGATCAATTCCCAAATTTGAGGATGAAGACCCAAATTTGGGGGTTTGCATTGGACTTGCCCTTAAGCACGGGTTGAGAGCTTGTGAAAGCATCCTCTCGGACCAGGTACTGATCATCGCTTTGATAAGCTATTACCTCACCAACTAGATAATCAGACGTGAGCCCTCGGCCGGATTCCTCCTTTTGCTCCTCAGCCTAAGAGGTTTTAGCAGCCGTTTCCAGCGGTTGTTCCCCTCCCAAGTGCAGGTTCTTACGGCAATGTCTCATTTCCTCTGAACTTGGAACTGTGAACTAAACGATCAATTCGCCGGGTACTAACTTTCACAGTTTCACGGATTGTACCTTGGCGGCCGCCGGGACGCCGCCACCTCTTCCCACCCACTATTGACTGTAGAACTTCGCGTTCGCTTTTCTTCTTAGAAGACAAGATGGAGCTGCCATGGTTCTAGTTTTTACACTTCAATCAATCCTCTTTTATCAAAGAGAATGGGAGAAGAAAGGGGAATGACAGCGGAAGAATCATCACAGAAACAGTACAACCAGGAGGCAAGTTCGCAATGGCAGAACGCCACCGCCGGAGCTGTGGCGGGGTTCGCCACCGTCGCTGCTATGCATCCCCTCGACGTCGTCCGGACTAGGTTTCAAGGTAACCACTTCTTGGGTTCCCAACATATGCAAGCTCCTTCGCGTCGTCTCTCTTTCTTCTTTGTGATTGATCTTAGTTGCTTGTGATTCGTGTATTTTGGGTTCAGTAAACGACGGCCGAGTAACCGGTCTCCCGACTTACCGGAACACTGGCCACGCTGTATTAACCATTGCTCGTATGGAGGTTTGTCTTCCCACAAAACTTCTATGCCATCACTTTCGTTTCATGGATGGTGTTCAATCTGTTGGAACCATTTGTTTTGCGCCTGAACCCAATACATACGACTTCCTTTGTGTTGTGAGAAATAGAATATTTATGCAAGAAATTCGACTGTTGCAGGGCATCAGAGGGCTTTATGCAGGATTCTCCCCAGCGGTTCTTGGTTCCACCGTAGCATGGGGTCTATATTTCTTCTTGTGAGTTTCTGTTAGATTACTGTGCTGATTTCACAAGGGGTCAAAAAGTTACTTGAATGAATGTGTGTTTTAGGAGTTCCCGTAGATCATGTTAGAGCCCCCTCCTCCTCTTGATGATGCTGGTAGATGATACATCTTGCTAGTTAGGTCTGTTTAAGAAGTAGCGCAGAAGCCATATGTATGCCTCCTCTTTAGTTGATGTAGTCTTAAGTGACTAGGAGATAGTCTTACTTGAACCAGGTTTTCATTCGTATCTTTTCGCTTTAATGCTTACTTATGCTTTTGTTGGTCACTTGGCTGAAAGACAATGATTGACACGAGGTTTTTCTCTTTCTAAAACATGTTGCAGCTACAGCAGAGCTAAACAAAGGTATTCAAAGGGCAATAATCAAAGTCTGAGTCCTCTTCTTCATCTTGCATCTGCTGCAGAAGCTGGAGGTTTGGTGAGTGCAACTTGGGATCAGAAAAACTTGGTGCATACTCTGTACAATTAGCAGAACATGCACCCTTATTCAAGTACTGCAAATTCTTAAGGCACGAAGATAAAAAGAAGGCCTCAAGCATTTTTGGTGAAGAATGGTAGTGATATTGACATTTGTTCCTTACCCCATCAGGTTTCCCTGTGCACAAATCCCATCTGGCTGGTAAAGACAAGGTTTCAGTTGCAGGCCCATCATCAATCTTCCCGACCCTATTCTGGACTTTATGGTTTGTTTAGTTTCTTTGACTATCACAAGCTGTCCATGTTGCCTCTTCGTTATTTTTCTTCCTCTCGTTTTATTCCAAATTTAGTGCCAAAGTTCGTAATTGCTAACTTCCTAATATTTATTGTCCACAACATCACCCCCTGGAGTTGATTACTGCTCATTTAATACAAACACAGTGATCTGACCTATGGTTTTGTTTGAGGTCCTGATTGTAAAATTCTGACTTAGTGACTTCAAGTCTAGATCATTCTGTCAGCTGCCCCAGCTGTTATGTTTTTCAGTTTTGGTAAACAATGTTATTACTAATGACGTTGTCGAGGTCCTGTTTGGAAGATCAGACTTCAAGTTCATTTTTATGATGCTCGGTTTGCATTAATGATGCTTGTGAGAATTTTCTTGCTTTCTGATAAAGTAAGATCAACGTTACTGTTAGTAGTTTGTTTATCCTTTTAGGTGTTCAATGTGAACAACCTTAGTACTTCTCATGGATTTTACTTGTGATCAATCTCAGATGCTTTTAAAACAATCATGAGAGAGGAAGGATGGAAGGCACTATATAAAGGACTTGGTCCTGGGCTTATTTTGGTGAGTGTATTTAGGTTGGGGGCACTTCCCAGTTGCTTCCCTCTCTTCTTATTAGATTGAATGCTCCTCACACTTGTCACATATGTGTCTATTGATGAGTTTTCCTCCTAGATTCATTACTTGGCCTTTGTGTGTAATGACTAAATGCATCTCTTTGTTGCTTTAGCAGGTTTCTCATGGTGCCATCCAGTTCACTGTATATGAGGAACTCCGCAAACTTCTCCTTCACCACAGATCCAATGGGACAAAAGGACACCATGATAATGCTGATAGTAATTTACTGGTGAGAGTCTTAACTTTTAACAACTAACTTTCATAATTCCAACCGGCAATCTTCAATTGGTATTAGTCCATCGACAGGCATACTGTCCTGTGCCTTAGAATATGATCTCATGACTGGTAAGTTGTCCTGATCTCATGACTTGAAATTCTACATGTTCTGTAATCTGCCTGATGCCTCACATCTTAGGGAAGATCCTTTTCTCAGTACAGGAGGTAATACTAATCGTACTTCCTGCACTGAATAATAGTACTTAAATAAGTTCAAGATAAAAATTATTGCTGATATAGCTATTGTAGAAATATAAATCCTAAATAAGACAGGAATTGAGTTATAGACTACTGCTCAATCAATGCTCCTACTCATGCCTATGAGGATAATGAGTAGGCCACAACACACACTACTTGCAAGCCAACTCCTCTTACAATTATGTAAACAGGGGTCTCCTTGAGGATCTGGACATGTGTTTTCAATTTTTGCTTCTCCCATGTTCCTATAATGTCTGTTTTCAATTCTCTCATGCAGAATACAGTTGATTATGCTGTTCTAGGGGGTTCTTCGAAACTTTCGGCCATTCTTTTGACCCATCCATTTCAGGTAGACATTCTATTTGGTTGATGAAACAAACTCTACATGGAACTATTTTGGTCATTGGATATAATGCTGTAATTATCTTATCTTTCAGGTTGTTCGAGCTCGTATGCAGGTAACAACTTTTGTATCCATTTCCCCCCCTTGTCTTTCTTCAATTATTTCACATGGAGAAGAATGGCCATGTTCTTGTAGGGCCTATGGTCCAGCAAGATCATTTTTCTTTTTCTGTTTCATTTGACCATGTTGCCCACATTGAAGTGAGCCATTGAAGCGTGTGATTATATGTTGCCTGCTACTGTGTATCAAGTAACTGTTGCGTTTTTTGGGCGTGGTTTTCTACCCATCGCTGCAGCAACGGCCAGGTGCTGATGGGACTCCGAGATATTTGGATAGCTGGCATGTGGTAAAGGAGAGTTTCCGGTGAGAATTTGGCAGTTAATTCATTAGCCATTCCTGTTACATAGTTTCCAGGTTTATGATTTGGACAGAGACTTGGATATTTAATGGATGGACTTTAGAACTGCGTAATCATTTCGTTCTGCAACTGACCACTCTCTAGTGGGCATTTGAAATACTATGTTGGGTTCCTACTACCGCATTAGCTTTGTTGTTCCAGTGATTCAGATTTTAGTCCTGATCACTATCTAATCCAAATTTTCCATTCTGCCCATGTTGGAAATCACAGGTATGAAGGATTTCGGGCTTTCTATAAGGGTATTACGCCAACTATTCTAAAAAGTGTCCCTACTTCCTCAATCACCTTTCTTGTGTACGAGAATGTCCTCAAGTTGCTGAAATTGGCAAGCAGGGACTGAACTTTCAGAGGGGCGTTTTGAGTTTTCCATTGCCATCCTGCTACTTCTGACCAGCAGAATCCAGTATCTACTCTACTGGTGGGAGGACAGGCTAACCATTGGGTGTTTCCTACTCTGCTACACATTTCTGGATCGAGATACATCAAGTGACGCAAATTTACTCAATGCGTTGCACCCCTCTGCATAGATTCATTTGCTATGTCCAAGGATGCATAAGGAATTTGTTCTCGATGGGAAACCTGATGCAATTTTGCCAACAATTTTCCTAACCTTCTAACTTACTGATAATTTTGCTTATTTCATTGGTGATTCTTACAAATTTACTGTGTAATTGTAGCTTCTGATATCTTATTTGGACTTGTAACGGTACAATACTTACCGAGACAATATGGTTAGACTCTTGGTCGATGCCAAGTTTAACGAAACTTCAAATATCAAACATGATAGCTCGCTAAGCCAGGTCCAGTTTCAGTAGTATACAAGGCAGCATGTTATTTCCTTAAAAAAAAACCCTTGACTTATTCTCTATTCTCATCATTTGAGGAATGCTTATGGAGAAAGGCAGCAATTTCTTCTGACACCTCTTGAGCTTTCTCTTGATGAATGAAGTGGTGACCGTTTAAAACTACAACTTCAAGATCAGGAACAAAGCTCCTGAAGACCCCTCCTTCAATATACTGCTTAGTGCCAGAGGTCTCGAACCCAATATCTTGATTACCGACGATGAACTTTGCCGGTACTGTAACTTTCGATCCTTGCCAGGGTGCAGAAATCTCCCAGTTCCTGTTCCCAGGAAGTCCAAGGAAACAAACAAACAGGGCAATTAAGGTGCGTGATTTGGCATGAATGCTTCAGTATGAACTTTTTTACTTTAGATAATCTGCTGTTGTGGTTGTGGTGACTGGTGACCACCTATGCACTTACAGGTCCATGGCACGGTAATAGTTGAGAGGACCAGTGAAGCCAGATTGCTGGAACTTGTCAGCATAGACTTCCAGTTCCTCCTGAGTGATCCAGGCCGGCAGAACAGCTGGTGTCTCCAAGTCGTCGATTATATCGATTCCCGGAGGTGCCACCATGTTGTCTGTCCTGTTCAACAGCAAGAACTTCTTCATCAATGTCATGCAATCGTATCTCGCGAATGCCTGCTCTGCTCTCCCAGGCTCCTGGAACTGACATATGTAAAACCCATCTCCAAACACCCTGTCGAAAATTTCAGTGAATCTAGCTTCAGGGTTCCTGTTGTAGAACGGGACTGAGAGTGCTACCAGCCCCTTCACTCTGTCAGGCCTCAGTAGACTCAGATACCACCCAGCCAGAGCTCCCCAGTCATGTCCTAGCACAAAGGCCTTTTCTCGAAGACCAACCAAAATCAGTACTACTGCTATTCGTAGTAAAATACGGTACAGGTAAGTTACGACATACATTCTATTAAGCAAAGGGCGAACAGCGGGAGAGACCTGGTGTTGACCGAAATGGTCGAGGAGGGCGACGATGTCGCCTACGATGTGCAGAAGAGTGTAGGAAGAAGGGTTGGCAGGGGAGTCGGAGTCGCCGTAACCCCTGAGATCAGGAGCGACAACATGGTAGCCACGGTCGGCCAAGTAGGTGATTTGGTGGCGCCAAGAGTACCAGAAATCTGGGAAGCCATGGAGGAGAAGGACCAGTTGGCCTGTCCCTTTCTGGGCTACATGTAGCCATATCCCATTTGCTTTGATTCTCTGGTGATCTATACCTTCCATATATAGGCTTGGCTGTGTCTTGCCTTTCTGCAGATTCACAATCACAGCAAATAGGGAAGAGGCAAGTTGAATAGCTCTATCTAGTGATTCCTTCCACCGGCAAATTGCAGAGGGAGTGGCTAAATGACTAAATATGCCATCCTCAAAGTCAAACACGGGTGATTAAAGTCAGAGCTTTGGAACTTTCCACTTCCGAGTTAGATAATGTTTTTAATAGGAAAATAAGGTATAATTTTAAAGTAGTCCCATTCAGTAGAGTAGAGATTACAAGCTTGGTGGTGAAGTCCGCAGATGATCATAGCTCGGCTTGCTAGCGGCTCGAGATGGTCTGATCTTGATTCGTAACATGAGCTTCCATGGAGTCACACTGGAAAGGGATTCTCAAGTCGTCACTTGCCAGCTTCTCATAGGGTAGAATCAGATACAATTGGAGGATTGATGCTTAAAGACTGCCTATAGACGATAGCTAGACATGGCTTAGAGTTATGTGGTTCCTAGGATTGCCAATTGGGTTGCCCCATAGTGTGGTAAAAAAAAGTTTTCTCTCTGTCTAGTTTAGAGTTGCCCCAGAGATAACTAAGACCCAACGTGCCAGTTTTTTTTTTTTTTTTACAAAGGACACTGATTTTCCATTACTTGTAGCACAAGCCAGTCATTACAGTAGGGGAGCAACCACATCAAGAATTTGTAACCATTGAGATGGTAACTGGTTCCTAGCACATGATCTAGCAACCCAATTAGCCTTGGAGTTGTTCCTTCGATTGAAGTGCTGTATCTTGACCAGCGGGTTATCCTTCAGAATAAGCTTAATGAGACCCAGCCTTGCTGCCGCTCGCCATGGCCACGAATTGGGGTGGCTATGGACTGCATTCACTAGCTGCAAGCAATCAGATTTCAGCAGGCAGGGAGCTCTGAGGGAGACAGCAAGCCGGGAACCCTCCAACAGGGCCAAAGCTTCTGCTTCAAGTGGGGAAAAACAATGCATGGACTCAGCTCTACCATCACACACTTGACCATGGCTGTTCGAGACAACGACGCCATATGCCGCCTTCTGGGGCTCGTCAAAGAACGAACCATCGCAGTGTACTTCAAAGTCATGAGTACCTGGCGGTGATGAAGAGTGCTCTTGGGGTGAGATGAGCTGAGAAGATGGGGGACATGCGGTAACTTTCCTTGGGCATGTGGTCCATTGAAGATGTGCTGACGCCGCCCTGTGATAGTTGATGGGGGCCATGGCTTTGTATCCCTGAAGATCTTCTCGTTCCTCGTTTTCCAGGTCTGCCAACCGAGGAAAATGATCTTCTGAATCGAGATGATTGGATAGCTCTGTCGAAGAGAGTCCAACCATTCCAGGAACGATGAGAGCGGTGCAGGCCGAGGCAGAGAGGGTCATTCTTGGTTCCATCCCTCAGCCGCATGGGGGCAGGTAAATAAGCAGTGGTGGATCGATTCAGTTGGGAAGTCAAAAATCGGGCAGACCTTTGAGATGTCGCACTTCCTCGCAAACAGATTCTCTTTTGAAGCCATAGCCCCTCTGGTCACTTTCCAAACGAAAATTTAAGCTTCGGGGGGGATAGAGAGACTCCATAGCCACTTCCATCTTTGCATGCTTGCCTCCGAAAAATCCTCGGCTTGTCCTTGGTCATGTCTGGTATGATTATGAAACTGGGTGAAGGCTAATTTGACCATGAAATTTCCTTGTTCAGCGAACCTCAATGCCCAGAAGTCCTCCAGCGACTCAGGCCCAATAGGGATGGCTGCCACCTGCTTCAGATCATGTTGGCTAAGGAAGTCAGCTAACAAGTCGAACTTCCATTCCCTCGATACCTCATCGATCCAACTGTCTGCGGTAGAGTTGTCGTTCCAATCAAACTGGAGGAGGGGGCCTGCCCTGTGGAATCTCCAGGGGTCTTGGAAGATCCTCGTTGTTTTGCCATTGCCAATCACTCGGATCAGCCCTTGTCGCATCCACACTTTCGCTTCACACAGACTGGACCAGATCCAAGAGGCTTTGCCACCTTTTTTTGCATTTAAGAAGTCCGAGTTGGGGAAATAAATACTTTTTAGTACCTTAGCCCACAAGGCATCCTTGTTGGTGAGGATTCTCCAAGCTTGTTTGGCCAATAGTGCCAGGTTGAAAGTATGGAAAGGCCGAAAACCGAGCCCCCCTCCTCTTTTGGGGCATACAAAACATGTCCTGTCCTCCAATGAATCGTTCTCTTCGTCATAGACCACTAATACAAAGAGACTGGTTTTATAAATTCCATAAGCAAATAAGTTAAGAACAAACAGTAACTTCCCAATGTGTTCCCCTAAGAAGACGACAATGCTCCTCTCCCTTTACACAACCAGGCATTGCCAATTTACACAGGAGATGCATCGAGAATTCAGAGAAATGCTTTGGTTTCTGAATGCTTCTCATTCTCCATTTTTCTCATCCTCTAGCAAAAGGTGGACACCACAAAACTACAATTATTTCAAACAACGGGACAATGGTGGCAGCTTTGTTCCCGCTTGTTTGTCACACCTTGTCGTCGTGGAACCACCACCTGGTCTCCTTTGGAGATCGGCCATTCCGACAGTTCTTTACATATCGATCGTTGTCTTCAGGGCGTTGCTGCAGGCACAGGGGAAAAAGTATCACATGAGCTCAGAACAACATATACCCTCTTAGTCTTATCAGCTTAAACCGAGACAGAAACGAAGTAGAGACAGTAATGAGCTACAGATCAAACCTTAACAGTTGAGCTTGACAGCATTGAGAGGATGCTTATACAAACTGAACTAACAGTCATGGCAGGTGACCAAGAGTCATATAATATATCTGCAAAGTAGAATCATAGTTTGATGTAAGCCTCTCCGTGACAAAACTACCCACTTCACTGCATTTAAAAAGGAGAGGTAATACAATGATGAACTTGATAAAAACGGCAAAGCACGAGGAGATATATATAGTCAGTCCCCTTTGGATATCTTGTCACAGAAATGGATGGACGCATAAGAGTCTCCTATGTAGAAGCTGAACTACTTTAGCTAGAGTTGATGAACCGATCATCTTTCGTTTGGTAAATGTGACACACGTTCAAGAGTCGCATCAACTGTCCACATGCAAAAGCATGAGTACCACCAAAATAAAATTACACCCCGAGGGAATCCATCCAGCTTATGCAGCCATTCAAATGTAGGAAGGGATAAATGAATCATTAAGACCCCAAAATATGAAGTGTCTAGTCCCTGAGATCAGCACAAAAGTTCTCTGAATCATTATCAAGATATTCATTTCACAAGATGCAGATCACGTCCGTGGTGAACTGTGAGACATTTGGCCTTGTATTGCATACAAAGCCAAAGAGAGATCAAAGGAACTCTCAGCATTTTCAAGTGATTAGCCAAGATTACAAGCTAAGTTGAACACAATTTTGATCTTGCAGGTCTCAGTTATCTTAAGAGGATAAAGTCACAGTGATTCCAGTAGAAAGAAGATCACTAATATATCTACAAAGGGGAACAGAGACCATGCACTCAAAAGGGAACGAAATCCAGTGGACACTCAAAGCAGAGATAGCATCAACCGCAATATCCAGGGGCAAATCCATCACTTTCAACAAGTGGGGAGGAAAAAATTATTTGGGCTTGAGAAAAAGAAAATCTTGATGTAAACCCAAAGCCAAGAAGACTAAAACACCTATGGTGAAGATATGAAAGAGAAAGTGGTCCAGGAAACAGGAGTTGGAATCATTTTAAGGAAAAAATAATAATATATGCTTACTGGTACAACACAAACACATTCCATTATGAGGAGAAAGGATGAAGGTTTTGGTCGTTGGTTTTACCTAAACATATATGGCCGTTGCTATAAATGTGAGGGTGCAATGGAGCTGGATGGAGGAATATCACCTGCTCACAGTCCAAATATCCAAACAAAATGAACATCAGAAACACATAATAAACAACAACTTGCACAGGAAGAAAGAAATGATGATCCAGAATCATACCTGGGGAGCTTCCATTGGGTAATGCTCAGGGAAATCAACTTGAAGTTGGTAAGTTTCGTTAGCATAGAGGGTTCCAGGAGCTCCAATCGCTTCAACCACCCACCTTCCATTTCCAAAACCCACCAAATTTTAAAAAACTAAGGAACAAATTACTACCAACCAAAACTAGAATTGCCGTAATTTGAAACAAACACAAAAACTAAAGAGACAAACTTTCTTCCGTAAAGCAGTAAAGGTGGACAGCTTAGAGCTGAAAGTTCAATGTTTTTCATCCAACGGAAAGATGGGTAAAAGAAAAAGAGGAAACCTTTGGAGATTATCGGTGACTATGTGTTTGAAACCAGTGGGGGGATTGATCTGCCACTCTACCAGCTCCTTCTGAAGCCGATTGATGGCAATCTTACTCAGTGTCTGAAAGTAATCGTCCAACATCGTCGAAGAGAGAAATCCGTAGAAAGCAAAATTAATTTCTAGAATGAAGAAGAAGATTGACAATTCATCGAGTTAGGGGATGGAAACAGTAAGAGTCAAAAGTGAGGGAAAGACCTTCCGAGCGGTGGCGGAGGAGCTGGTCATGGCGGAGAGCGCTGCGGGGAGGAGAGAGAGAGGGGATTTCAGGGCTGAAAAATTTGGAAGGAGAAGAAACAAATAGAAGCAGCGAAGGTTTTGATGGTACCACCTGTACGTGGGCACCGGGCCGTGCCGCTTACTGGCTAGCACGGAATGACACGAGCATAGAGACAAAATATATGGGCCAGCCCAAAACGAGCATGAATAATTTATGAGCCGTGTTGGGTCTAAATTTCATGGGCACAGGCACGTCACGGTACATAAGTGGGTCTTATTGGCCTAATATTTTTGAGATTTTATTGAGTATAAGAACGGACATGACACAAAAATAACATTTATTTGATAAAAAAATAAATATAAAAAGAATTATAGGTTCAAATATTATAAAATACAAGTAAAAAAATAATTATTTGTTGTTGTTAGAAGTGTCGTAAAGATATATACGTAATTACTATCATCAGTAAAAATGGACGAATAATTAAACAAAGCCAAATCACACCCGCTATACTTCCAATTTTCTTTTCCCTCTTATTTGTTACTTTTCTCAAACATTCTCGGTTAACACTATCTTTCTCCGTCAAATTTTTCACCTTCTTTTTCATTTTCTTTTATATTTCCCCTTTTTATTAGACACGAATACGAGTAGGGCACGAGCACGAATAGGCACGACACGATTCGAACCGTGCTCGGGCCTGGGCCGGGCCTAACAAAGTTAACAAATGGGCTTTCACGGCACGACATGAAAACTGACGGGCCGTGCCAAGCACGAGACGAAATAAATGGGGCCAAAGCGTGCCCGAGCCGTTCTGGGCCAAGCACGGTCCAACACCCATGTACAATACGACCCACGGAGGCACGGACCCAGACCCACCTCCTTTTTCAATGAGAAAAGCCGGTGGCTTGTCAAGCCAAACAATTATCTCATTTTGCAGTGTCTCGAAATTGCGCCGTAATATGAGTTGCTGACTCGTATAGAATATCACAATAAAACTCATAATTAAGGTCCAAGTATAAACTTTAATTGGATGCAATATAGGATAAGTATGTTTAAATATCAACCCGGGCCGATCCATGTACCCCTACTTCGATTGTTTGAAACATTATCTAGCGATTAGTTGTTTGTTGAAAACTACGATCTACAATTAAAGCGATTGTAAATGTAATTGGTTTTTGACTATAAATGAGAAGGATTCACTCGGGTGTAGCTCCCCCTAACTAGCTACCATGACTTGTCGGAATGAATGAAAACATGTGGTGGAGCTGGTTGTGAACCGTAAGGGAAGTGCAGCTAGTGATGAAACATCACTCTCTCGGTATCTAGGCCAAGGAATTCGGATTAAGCTACCGATGTAGCTCTCTTGGCCTAATCGACTAAGGACTGTCTAACCTTCTCTCTCGAATCGGGGTTCGGACGACCAAAACACAACCAACCTAGATGCTAATACGAACAAAGATGGTTGCCCTACGTTAACCTAGATAGGAGACAGGATTTGCCTAAGAAAATCCAGCTTTACAAGCCTCTTTCATAAAAAGGCGGTTTTCTCTCTACCTAGGTTAGAATGACAAAATAGATTGATAGGCAAACACACAACAGAATCTTCCATGAAAATACCTTCAAATTCATATTAAAACACACCCACACATAAACAATCATTCCATACAATCAATATGGTAAAAGTCAGGGTTCACAAGCACCCAAGTGAAATGGGACACTACTCCATGCTAGGAGAGGGAAAACACAAGGAGAAGGGACAGAAATCATAATGGAGATGCTTGAGTCCTTCCTTGTGTAGTGGAGATCTTCCTTTAGGGAAATTTTTTCCAAATCCTTGCATTGAAGTGAAACCCTAGACTCTTCTTCCTTCTTGCTCGTCACTTTCTCACTCTAGAATGTTGAAGAAGAAGGTTTTCTTACTCAAGGCCTCCTCCTCTCTTTAGTTTCAGCTCAACCCTCCTTTTATACACAGGTCGCGGTCAGTTCACGACCGTGAACATTCCTCCTGGACCATGATTTCGAGCTGATACACACCGTCTCATTTAGTCTATTCACGGTCTGGGGCTTTGGTTCACGGTCTTACGACCTTGAACTGACTAGGAGCCCACGAGGTGTGCAAAAGCTCATGGACCCTTGGCACTTGACGGTTTGGGAACTCTTTTCACGATCTTAAGACTGTGAAAATCATCATTGGTCGTGATCCTTAGCTGCTTCCACACTTTGACTCATTCTCGCTCCTTTTATTCTCACTTTCGATTCTGGGGTCAGTTCCTCCTGCTAGGATCTGAAACATACTAAAACAAGGCGCAGCCTAGCGTAAAACCACACCTCACGGAGCACAAATGTATAAAATGTCGAAGGAAAATGAGGATAAAATGAGTACAATTGGACCCGAATCAGTTGCCATGTTAGCTTCTCTGGGTGAAAATGCCCACGAGATCGAGCCAACCTTTGGAGTGTTAATTTTGAATACTTCAGTGGTTGGTGGTTTCCATTGTTTCTGAGCTGGTGGGGCGGGGATCAACTCATCTTTTTCTTTGTGAAGAAGATAGTCCTCTAGATTGTAACATGTGCGCAACACAATATTAGTCACATTCTGCTTTACTCCATTGAACATATGGGCATTAAGTTCTTTCTAAAAGAACCAGAGAAGCACACACCATGCTAGTAAAGTGTGCTCATCCCAATTCTACATCAATATTTGTGTCCATGTGTAGCAATTCGCCCCCCTACTTCGAAGGCCATATCTGATTGCTTCCAAAGCCTCGACGCCCATTGGCACTCACTAAAGATATGTTCCTAGGTTTCCCTAATGTCGCAAAACGGGCATTTGTCACCCCACTTCTTACTCTGAACACTACCCAATCTCCTGTAGGTAACACACCCCGAGCAAATCGCCATATAAAGTGCTTGATCTTATGCAGGATCCTCAATTTCCACAGCTTCCGCCATAACTCAACTTCCCCTCTCGGCTGAACATAATGTCTGGCATTGTAATCTCTTAGCCACCAGTAGAACCCCTCCTTCACTATGTACTCTCCTCTAATGTTTGCCGACTAGATCACTCCCTCGTAAAAGAATATGGTATATCTGTTGTTCGTTGCCGCATCAAAGCAAGGTTCCACCACTGAAGATCCCCAGCTTCTGTGTCCGGGTTGATTAAGTCACGAACCACAACGTCTACTTCCAAACCCTGCGGAGGGGTGGAGATGAAGTGTGGTTCCTTTGGTAGTCAATTGTCTCCCAAGACCCTGATATTCGACTCGTCCCCAACTCTCCACCTCGATCCATTTCTGATGAGAGGCTGAGCACACATGAGACTATGCCAAATATAGCTTGGATCATTACCATATAGTATCCTCAAGAATGGACGATCCCTTATAATACTTGGCTTGAAAGATCCGAGCTATAAGGGAGTGCGGCCGGTGGAGGAGGCGCCACAATTGCTTAGCTAACAAAGCCAAATTAAACCCTCGAAGGTCCCTGAAGCCAAGCTCACCTTCTTTGTTCGCACACACCAGTTCCTCTCTGCTGACCTAGTGAATCCTCTATTCATACCCTCTTTGTCCCTAGTAAAAATTCGTGATAAGACCGTGACTCTCATCTAAAGTCCCGTCTACCACTTTAAACACTGGCATGGCATAGATGAGTTGTGCTTGAGCAACATATTTAATTAAAGCTTCCCTCCCCGCCAAGGATAGAAATCTCTCTTTCACTCCCTTCAGCTTCTTGCGAATTCATTCCTTCATCCAAACGAAAATATCCCTATTGGATCGACCAACGATAGTTGGCAAGCCCAAGTATTTTTCATGCTTGTCCACAACCTTCTTCTCCAAAGTGCCAATAACAATCTAGCGCTAATGCGGTTTCACATTGTTGTTGAAGCTCACTGCTGACTTCTGGAAATTTATTAGTCGTCCTGACTCCTTTAAATAGGACTTCAGGATGCCCTTCTGCGCAACAATTTCCAGTAGAGAGGCCCTGCCTAAAAAGATACAATCGTCAACAAAAAAAGGTGGGTGATGGTTGACACACCCTGAGCTGACGACAACCTATGAATCTTCTTGTTCTCCACTGCACGCCTCGTGATCCCTGACAGCCCCTCTGCACATTAAAAAATTAATAGGGCAATAAAAGATCTCCCTGGAAACTGCCTCATCCTGGCAGGAAAATCTCATACTAGTTGTAACGCCCTCTCATGTGTAATCTTCTCAATATGAACATTGCGGGCGTGGGAGTTCAAGTATGCCACCTAAACTAGAATGATCCCACTTACTTGATCTTAAATGGTTGGCCATTATGTGAATTTTATTAACCCAAATATGATTAGGAGTCTCCAACTCTAATAGGAAAAACTTTGCTCTACCCATATATACCATCCTTGTTTACTTGTTTGCCCACTATACCAATTACCAAGAGAGGATGTCATTCCCATTCATACTTGTTTTAGCTCTCTGGAGAGTTCCACTCCATGCATGAACCGAAAAGGAGAGAAATAAATATGCCATTTCCCCATTTCCCATATAGTAGCAGTAGATGACAGGTGTGTTTCTCCTTGCCCTTGGTACATGAATGGGATGATAAATGATTCTCCTAGGAATTCACCACCACTTACCTCCTCCATGGACTAGTGAGGATAAGAGAGAGCTAACATCGATCAGAATACCACCACCATAAACAACCTCTCCTCACTAAAACTCTCCCTTTCTTGAGACGGAAGAAGAGATGAGCTCAACCCTGTCCCTCTTTCATCGACTATAATCCATAGTGACCATGTTCAAGCCATTTTAATCAAAGAAAAGTTAGAAGAGGGAGTCCGGGGATTTGCCGATTGGCAAGGGGGAAGAGACATAGTTCAAGGTACCTTATTTTGCCTATTGAATCATATATTTCCAAAGAAGAAAATGATTAGCATGCATATATAGTATTAGCCTACTGGTGCATGCATGATTTTATATGTATTTCCTGAATTAGAGAGATCATCCTAAGGAGGGTAGCGATATATGGGATTATAATGTTGGATTAATGTGTGCGGGCGTTCTCATTTGAGAGTCCATAATAGATGAATTGGTGGATATTTCTATAATTGATAGTGGCTTAGTTAGTTGTGGGTTTAAAGGATTTAATCCTTTTGTGGACGTTTCATGCAT